TGCTAGGTAACAAAAATAGTAAGAAAGTTAATATGTTGGGTGAAGGAGAAGAAATTTGATTTTTTCTAAATGAGGTTTTAAGTTTGAGTTTTGTTAGTTGAGAAATATGTATAAAAAAGGTTTTATTTTATAGGGTTTAATATAGTTTCATTTTAAATTAATTGAAATACGAACGTTAATTTTTAAATATATGAGGTTAGTAAAAAAAATAGGGAAAAAAAAGAAGAAAAAATTGGCGCCAAGTCAACAGACTCAACACCCTATCAAAATGTGTAACGTACCTTAAGATTGCCAATAAGAGATTGTTCTCAAGTATGCAAGAGTTAACCCCAAAATATCTTAAATATCCAAATATATCTATTAGAAGAAAAAGTGTATATTAGTGGGGCCTCTAAAGTTTTAGGGAAAAAACACTTAAAATTAAATCATTTAAATAAATTTTTATTAGAAAAATTAAAATAACATATTTTTAAAATAAAAAAGAAACATTTTAATTTTTTTTATGGTGCTTTATTAAAATACTTAATTTTGACATGATTTTTCTTTTAATCTTTTAAAGGAATTAATGTTTATCCATCTTATCTTTTAAAGATTAAGAGAACAATTATTTTAAAACTACGTAATTTTAATAAAATACTACAGGAAAAGATAAAAAACATTTTAACTCATGCTTTAAAAATATGGTATTTTAATTTTTTTCAATTGGGATTTATTGAAATGATGTAATTTTGGAATGATTTTTCTTCTAATCTTTAAAAGGTAAGGCAAATAAATATTATTTCTTTTTTTAAAAATACTGCAAATAAACATTAATTATATATAATATAAATTTAATAAAAATAGCACCTTATGACAATGCAACAAGAGAATTTCTCTGCCTCCTTCATAAAGATGCTTGTATTATCTACCTTCCCAACAAAGAAAAAAAAAATTAAAGGAAAATGAAATGACTGAAGAGTTATTAAAATTTATTTTGGGATGAAATTATTTCCAACTTTGATTATGTGAGTTCACATAAGGCCCACACCATAAATAAGGACTATCGTAAATTATTATGGCTATCATAAATTCATCTTAAAAATTGCTTGTAACTATCTCCATAGTTAATGAAAATAAATCCCAAACAACTAGTAATTGGACCAATCAGATCAGCAATTCTCATGTCAAAGATCAATAGCACGAGCAACCTGTAAAGATTTGAGATTTGATCATAAATATTTTGATATTTAAGTCAATAATAATTTAACCTAAAACCAAAGTTAAAGAAGAGAAAGTTTGCTAGTCAAAAAGAGTACTTTTGGTGAGGACTTTTAGAATGTATTTATAGACTAGAAGTATGGCTCATGTAATCTTTCTAGGGTGATAATTGAGGTGTAAAATGGTAGCTCGAGCGAATTTTGCATAAATGAGGATCAAATGTTGTCCACTTTCATGAACTCTTCGTGCATCTAGGGATAAGGATCGAGATGAGGACTTCAGCCTCGTGAGAGACAAACATATTCCCACACCCTTAATTGATACTAATATTTTTTGAAACATTCTATTCCCCTATATAGAATTATTCAACCACTACTAATCTTTTTTTGATTAAAACCAACATTTAGCCCCTCACCTTACAAAATCGGTAGGTTTTAGTCCCTAACCTTATAATATGACACTTTTAGCCCTTTACCTTACAAAATTGATAGGTTTTAACCATTCACCTTATATTATGACACTTTTAACTCTTTATCTGTACGAATTGAAAAAAATAGCCCTTATTTAACATCAAGTTTTAATGTTCTATTAGTTCTGTTAACTGACTGTCAGTTCT